GAAAGTTGATGAGAACGAACTGCAAATGGGATCCTTGCTGTGAGTTAGAAAGCAGAGCTCCATTTCAAAGGCCGGTGCCACAGAGACACGAACCGTCTTACTGGGACTTTTTACATGGATTACATGTTGAAACGAAGCTGTCTCACCCAATCAGGCTACATATATAATTAAAATTAATTTCACCCATTTCTTTGGCTCCTTTAAATGTGGCAACTAGAAAAGGTTAACCTATGAGAGACGGGTGTGGTGGTAAACACATGTGTAATTCCAGCCCGCTGGGAGGCTGAGGCAGGAGGATCCCACGTTCAAGCCCACTCTGGACAATCTAGCAAGACCCCATCTGCAAATTAAAAAATTAAAAAAGGGACGGGGATGTAACTCAATGGAAAGGCCCTGGGTTGGATTCCCCAGTAGCACAAGAAAAAACAAAACAAAACACAGCAGCGTAGCTATGGGGCTCACTGACCCCGCGGGGGTGACAAGGCCCCGATGGAGAGAGATCCTGAGGGGCGGCCTCCTCCAGCTGTTCAGAGCCCTGGCTGCTCCTTCCCTCCTGTATGCAGGCTGAGAAGCTGCCCCACCCTGGGGCAGCTCCAGGGACCCCTTCTCAGCTGTATGCCTCAGTTTTCCCCCCTGAAATGGGAATTACCATGGCGACCGCACGGGCTGCTCCCAGGGTGGCAGGAGCTGGGCTGTGTGAGCCTGGGAACACAGTGCACATGGGGAGCCTGTGGCTGGCACTGTCCTTCCCTGCCCCCATCTTCCCAGCTCCTGAGCTCCTGGCTCGGAGGGTGGCAGGGATCCAAGAAGGAAGGAGAAACCAAACAAAGGACCAAGCAACAAAACCAGCAGGGGGCACCGTGGCCGTGTTGGGGGCATCACCTTGTCACACACTTCCACAGCCATCTTGTCTACCCGGCAGTTCCCACTGATGGAGTGACGGGGCTGGTGGCTGACTTCCGGTGGCCTTCTTTCTCTCTCTCTTTTTTAATAGACAGTCTTACTTCCTAGTCCAGGCTGGCCTTGAACTCATGGTGGTCCTCTTGCCTCAGCTTCCCAAGAGCTGGGATCACAGGCATGCACCACCACGCCTGGTTTGTGGCCATCCTTCCTTGCAGCAGTGGTGTCCCCACTTTCCCTGCCCCTCAGTCCCCACACAGTGGCCCCTAAATCTCTCTGGGAGCCTCTGTCCAGGCCTCCCTGCAAGACCAGGGTCTTTGGTGCCTCTGTTGGCCAAAGGGTCCCCTTCCTTCCCCAAGAGAAACCAGAGGTGGTGGGTGCTCTGGATCTCCTGGTGCCTACGTTGGACCCCAGGGGACACGAGGGGGCAGGGGACAGAGGTGTCCTGCATGCAGTGCAGCGCAGTGAGGGGCTGTCAGCCTCTCCCCGTCCCCATGGGCCCCCTGCATTCTGCCAGCCCGCGGCCCCCCCAGGGCCACGCTCAGCCAGTGCCACCGTGGAACCTTTTATCACCTGTGGGCACTCACTTGGCTACAGGGCCCTGTGCCTGCCGTAAAACCAGTGAGGCGCACAGCAGCCTCCTGGCAAGGAGGGGCTGTAAAGAGCAGAGATCAGAAGGTCCCCAGTGGGTCCTCGGAGATCAGAGGGAGGAGCAGCAGTGTGGCTGTTCAGGGCCATCAAAGGTGCAGCCCGGTCCAAAAGGTAGCTGACCAGCTGGGCCTTGACCCGGGTTCAGAGGGGAGTCTCCAAGCCTCCTCTGGGCAGGAGCTCCCACAGGGCTCTTGCTATACATCTGTCTTCCTCATTCCCTCACCTGGGGTGTGCTAGAGTGAGGTTTTCCTAGTTCAAGTCCCAGCTAGCCCATGGACTGCTGTGTGACCCTGGGCAAGTTTTTCAACCTCTCTGGGCCTCACATTTTTTTTTTTTTACCAGTACTGGGGATCAAACTCATGACTGCCTGCTTGGAAGGCGGGTGCTTATGCCGCTGAGCTAAACCCCGAGCCCCTGGGCCTCACATTTTAAATGGGGTGATGGTACTAGGTTGATCTCAGGCAGGCAGGTCACTGAGAGGATTAAGTGAGATAATACACAGCATAAGGTGAGCAGATCCTGGAACTCGGGCACCATGGAGCTCTGCACCGCCAGCAGCTGCCCATCCTGCCCGCTGCCTGCATCCTTCCCTCCTCAAGCTTATTTGGTCCTTATTAAGCCATTTTTAGCCCACCAGATACATACAAGACTGTGCAGAACTACCAAGCACAGTCTATAACCCCAAAGGTCTTGCTGGCTATTTCAGAGCCCAAATTATGAACCCCTTGTACCTCAAAGCCTGCCACTCCAAAACAACATATGATTTAGTTTTTCTCATTCAGGAGACTTAAAATGCAATCTGAAGCTGTGGCGGTGCACACCTGTGATCCCAATGCTTGGGAGGTTGAGGATGGCCAAGGGCTCCAGGCCAGCAGGGGCTCCCTAGAGAGCTCCAGTGAGAGCCTGTCTCAAAGAACAAACCAGCCTCTTGCCACCCCCCCCCAACCAAAAAATCAGTTAAAAAATTAAAATGCCAGGGCTGGGGATTTAGCTCAGTGGTGTAAGCACCTGCCTTGCCAGTGTGTGGTCGTGAGTTCAATCCCCGGTACTGATAAAAAAGAAAAAGACAAAAAAATAAATAAATAAATAAATAAATAAATAAAAAAAATGCTAGCAAGCCAGCAAGATCCCAGGGGTCACTGCCTCTGCCTAACACCCACTGTGGGACCATGCAGAGGGCAGCTCCTGGGCCCCGATGCAAACCCAGGATGCGTCTGATTGTCCCAGCAGCCTCTGGCCTCAAAGCCCAGCCCTCCTTTGGAGCAGGCCTGGCCCCTCCTCGCCTGCCTGCATGCTCATAACCCTGACTCAGCCACCACCCCACGTTGCCCAATCTCGTCTCCGTTCCTCCATTCATTCATTCCTGGGCCATTCACTCTCACCGACTCAGCTCCACATTGTCCCCCAACAGGCAGAGGCTCAGGGGTCTCAGGATGATTTGGCCACAGGCCAGTGCCATCTGGGACCCCAGGTGGGCACATCCTTCCCCTGGGCTGGCCAAAAATCCCAAATGCTGCCATGAAAGCTCTGGGCCTGAGAATCCACTGGGCCAGGGAAAGAGAAACAGCAGAGGCTGCCCCAGAGGAGGATTCGGGGACAACTTGGAGGGAGGGACCAGGTCATCAATCAGTCAATCGAGGCTGATGCCAAGGCCTGAGAATGGTGGAGAAGGAGAGGCAGGGAGGTCATACCAGGCTTCTGCTGGTCACTGGAGGGGGCAGATGCAGGGACACGAGAAGGGGCCTCTATCCCAGCCCTGAGCTCCATTCCAAACCAGGGGTCTCTACTTTGTATTCCTCCTGCGAGGAAGATTTCTCTTCAATAAAATAAAATCCCTGTCTTACAATGCTTTTGTAAGCCACTGCCATGGACACAGAGGTGCCCAAAAGGGACTCCAGAAGGGGACAGCTGGGGACAGACCTGGGATTTAGACAGAGCCTTGGCCTCCTTGGGAATCCCTGTGGCAGAAACCCAGTGTTAAGGCCTGGGGCAGGGAGCCCAAGGCGTGGCAAGGGAAGGTGACATCAGTCACCGTCCCTGGGGAGGATGGAATGTGGGAGGTTATGGGGTGGGGTGGGCATGAGGTGGCACCTCAGGACCTGGAGGGGCTGGGAAGGTGGGAGAGGCAGCTTGGGACCCAAGGGAGGCTCTGGAGAGGCCGAGACTGAGCTGGGTTCAAAGTACGGAACAGGCTGGGGCCTGGAGACAAGGTCCAGGGATGGGGTGTCAGGGACCTTGCAGGAGGAGCAGTGCTCTGTTGAAGTGATAGTGGGGTCAGAGGTCAGGGCAGGGGCAGAGCTCCATAAAGGTAAAGGCCCCAGAGAATGGCTTATGCCCAAGAGTGACAGCCTCCTGGGCCCAGGGGCCTCCGCTGTTGGGGGAGCTGGAGATGCTGTTGTGCACTAGAGACCGTGACACCCTGACTGACAGTGACAAAGGGGAGAAACTCCCAGTCCTGGGGTGGGGGTGCAGGGACCCTGCAGGTAAGCTGCTTTCTGAGGACCCAAGGCAGATCCCGGAGCCCCTGGCAGGAAGCACTTAGTAGAGAACACGACCCCCCCTTCCCGGTGGGCCCAAAGATGCTCGGAGGTTTGTTGAGGCCACATGGCACTTGGCTGGGGTTAGCAGTCCCATCTTTGGAGTCTCACCTTACAGTGCCCTGGCTCTGGAGTAACACAGGGCCCAGCAGCATACAGAGGTTACCCCAGCTGTGTGCTGTGTGATGGCAGGTAGCTGCCTGCCCTCTCTGGGCCTGGTCTGTTCCTCCGAGAACAGTGGAACCATAGAGCCACTGCCGGCAGGGGCCTGCAATCTGGCCAATTTCTCTCTCAGCCTTAGTCTCCCTATCTGGGAAGCAGGTGCTTCACAGGCCTCTGATTTCCTAGGTGCAGCGAGGAGCTGGAAGACTCTGTCCTCACCTCTCCCACTTGGCCCACACTTCCTGGGGCACAGCTTCTCCCTCAGAGACATCCAGGCATCTCCATCCTGCTCACCCTGCTCTGCTACCTGCCCCTCCATTCAAGCAGGGGGCACGTTCTGACCCACAGGAAACACCCTTATTTATTTATTTATTTTTTGGAGATAGTCTCACTATGTAGCCCAGGCTGGCCCCAGATTTGTGGTGATCTTCCTGTTTCAGCCTCCTGAGGGCTGAGATTACTATGAGCCACCTCCCTCACCCCCCTCCCCATTCTCTGAGGGCTTATGAAGGAAGGGTATTCTGAGAAAAAATGGGGTGCAGCAAGCCCTTAGTTTTGCCAGGCAGCTCCTGCACACCCAGCAGCCCCCCAGGCAGGCATCAGTCAGATGGTGACTGTGGATCCCTTGCACAGAGGAGCAATCAAGGCTGGGGGAACTCAGTGCCAATGGCCCACTCTCTTCTCTGGAGGGACCCTGGGGCCACCAGTTTCATCCTGTCCCCTTGCACCCAGACTTTCGGGCAACCTCACCTGATTTCCGAGATGTTGTTCTTGAAGTAGTCCGGCATCACAGGGGCGCAGGGCCCGTCCATGGCGGTGGGCGAGGGGCAGGAAGAGAGGAGCTGGCCAGGTGCGCGCAGCCCGTGTCTGGCGTCTGTCGCCGAGCAAGCGCCAGGTGCTGGCCAGGTGCAACCTCGCCCGCCCAGGGGCGGAGCTGCAGCCGGTTCGCCCAGGTGCTGCCCACGCCCCGCGCGGGCCCAACAGGGAGGGAAGGGCGCCTCCCTGCTGAGAGGGCGGGGGAGAGGAGGGAGGGCAATGCCAGGTCCCAGCCAATGGCACCTCCGAGGCGGCTCCTGCACGGGCCCAAGCCCCGTCTTCATTCATTCTTTCCTTCTTTTTCGTTTTTCTCCTTTTCTCTGAAGTTTTGAATCCAGGGCTTGTTCTATAGCCCAGGCTGGCCTCTAGCTGGCAGGATACTCCTATCTCAGCCCCCCGAATTCTGGGATTGTGAGCATGTGCTACCATTTTTTACTTCACTTCATTCGTTCACTTTTATTTATTTAAGAACTACTTGCCAGGGGTAGTGGCTCTCACCTCTAATCCCAGCACTGGGGAGGCTGAGGCAGGAGGATCATTGTGAGTTCGATACCAGCCTGGGCTACAAAGTGAGCTCAAGGCCAGCCTGAACTGCATAGAGAGACCCTGTCTCAAAAAGACAAAAAAAAAAAAAAAAGAACTACTGAACTTTAAAGATAACAATACACCATATACGGCATCAGCACCTGCCTGGCAATTGTAAGGCTGTGAGCTTGATCCCCAGTACCAAAACCAAAAACAATATGCATTATATGAACCATCATTACCCTCTTACCATCTTGTTTTGAAATTTTCTCTTTAAAAAAAAAAAAAAAAAAGAGATAGTGTCTATTAGGATTCTTACTCTGCTAAAAACAAACAAACAAACAAACAAAAACCAGGGCTGGGGATTTAGCTTAGTGGCATAACAGCCTGCTTGGCAAGTGCAAGGTCATGAGTTCAATCACCAGCATACCCCCCTCAAAAAAACCCCATGCACACACACAACTTATTTACTGAGCGCCTGCTGTCTTCTGGGTGCTGGTCTAAGTGCCAGGGCAGAGCAAGATAGTAACTGTGTCCTCCTGGGTGACCTGGCACAGAGTGACAGAGGCACAGAGATGGCACAAGGGTGCCAGTGGGGGTGGCAGAGGGACGAAAGAGACAGAGACAGTGAGGGACACAGAGAGACCAAACAAAGGGCAGGAACAGCAAAGATTCACAGGAAGTCAGAGACAGAGACCAAGAGGCCAAGAGGTGACAGATACAGAAAGAACTTGGGACAGAAACACCCAGATGTCATGCAGGACACCAAGACCCAAAAGGGACAGAATCCCAGAGAAGGCCAGAGATGTGTGGGGACCCAGAGAGGCAGCAGGCACCCTGGCTGGGGCTGCCCGAGGAATCTGAAGGCCTGGTGGGCAGCTGTGCCTTGGTTTCCCCATCTGTGCATGATGCCCATTTGGTCAGCTGTAATGAGGACAAAGTGGGGCATAGGGACACCCCAAACTGGTTCTGTCCTCCCAAGCCTTCCCCCACCCAGGCCCAAACCCCTGGATCTGCCTGAGAAACCCAGGCCCACTGGAAGTGACATTTTTATTGAGCAGAAGAAATAGGTCCAACAAGTTTAAAAACACCTTCTGCAAACTGGGTGTGGTGGTGTATGCCTGTAATCCCAGCACTCAGGAGGCTGGGGCAAGAGGATCTCTTTGAGTTTGTGATCTGCCTGGGCAACAAAGTGAGCTCTAGGTCAGCCTGAACTGCATAGTGAGACCCCGATTCAAAAAGATAAAAGAAAAGGGGGGGGGTGCGAGAATTTAGCTCAGCAGCATAAGTGCCTGCCTGCCAAGTGCGAGGTTGTGAGTTCATCCCGGTTCCACAAAACAAACAAACAAACACACAAACAAAAAAAACCAAACCACATTAAGAAAGGAAATAAAAGTCACTGTGCCACCTCCAAAAAGACTACCACAAACATTGTGATAGGATCTTTCTAAAAAGTTCTCACTTCTCAGGGATCCAGGAGATTTTCGTCAGATGAATAACCATCCCCCCAATCAACATTTGCTTTTCTGCTTGCTTGTTTGTTTGTTCAGGTACTGGGATTGAATTCAGGACCTTTGCATGAGCTACATCTCAGTGCCCCACCCCTTTGAGACAGGGTCTCAGTAAGTCCCTAAACTGGTAGTCCTCCCACCTCAGCCTCTCACAGGGCTGGGATGACAGCACTGTGCCTGTCATGTGCCTGGCTTTAAATTTTATTTACTTATTATTGCTGCACAGATGAGGGTGATGGGAGGGATCATTCTCCTAAGGATGTGTGGAAAGGGGTCCAGAAAGGGGTGAGCACCACCAAGGTCACACAGCACTGTCCCCTTCATGCTGTGCACAGGCAGGAGACAAATGTCGTGGGATGTCCCATGCCCTCAGCATTTCCACGCAAAGACTCAACTCTGAGACCTGGGGGGTGTGGGGACCTCCACCCCTCAACCCCGACTGAGCCTCCCCCACCCCCAGTTCACTGCTTTAGCACCCAGCTGTGAAAAGGGGCCCTGGAATTGAAGACGAAAAGCAGCCAAGCAAGGGCCATCCTGATGTTGGGAGCCAAGCAGCAGCACTTCACCTGGCCCTGGGCTAGAGCCACTTCCTCCCTGATGCGCTATGACACATTCTTTTCTCCGGAGGACGTGACCCTGGCCTGTCCCTCCCGTGGGAAGTCACCAGACTGCTGTGGGCCCAGCGTCACCCAGAGAGGCGGAGCGGAAGGGGAGGCAGCCCTGGGGGTCTGGAAGAGCCAGCAGGACCCTGCGTGGTCATTGGGATGCGGCCGGCAAGCGACCCGGGCGGCACCCGAGCTGGCTGTGGCAGGTAACTAGCCAAGCGAGCAAGCCGAGGTCCAGACGTTCCCACCCCAGGGCCTTTGCATTTGCTGCTCCCCTCCACCTAGGAGTGCTGTGGCCTCCTGAGCCGTTTCCACAGTGCCACCAACGTCATATCCCGCCCTGTGCTTTTTCCACCGCCCTTGTCACCATCTGATTTCCAAAATGTTCTGCTTGCTGTCAACCACACAGGGATGCCGCTTGTCCTCCATCTGTCACCATGGTGTCTCCAGCAGGTTCCGGAATGTGGCAGCTGTGGCAGGGGGCTGGGCTCTGGAGCCAGCGGAAGGGGCTGAGAAGACACACAGGCGACTGGGGCAAAGTCCTGGCAACTGCAGGACAGGAGGGACACGGACGACGATCAGCGACCCCCAGAAATCCAGCGGGCCCTGAACATCCGGGACCCGGGGAGGGGGCGGGGCAGAGGCAGCAGGGGCTGTCCAGGTCGGGCCGCAGGGGCAGTGGGCGGGGCCGGGAGCCCCTCTGCAGCCCTGGCCCTGCTACCGCGCTTGACTGGCACTCGCCTGGGGTTTCTTCCTGGACCTCAGGGAAACCACGCAGGGGTTTAATCCCTAGTTTTATGTTACTGGTTTTAGAAGGGTGGAAATTTAATCCCACTGTGACGTTTAGAGGTGGGGCCTTTGCGAAGTGATTAGGTTAGATGAGGTCATCAAGGTGGAGCCCACGAATGAATCCAGGTGGCTTTAGTAGGCCAGAGAGAGAAGCCTCGTGACACTGGTTCTGCGAAGAGCAGGGGGAGGGAGCCTCGAGAACATGCATGACACTTTTTATCTCCAGAACAGTGAGATAAATGAACTTTTTTCTTTACAAAATAACCAGTCTCATTTATTTTGTTATAATAATGAAAAACTGGCCACTAGACCACCCCTCTATCCATTTATTGATCTATTCCTGCATCCATTCGCCATTCACTCAACTATTCATCCATTCTTTATCCATCCATCATCCATCCAGCACCCTCATCCAACCACCTCCATTCATCCAACCACTCACCTATCCAACCATCCACTCTTCCACTCAACTATCTATCTATCCACCCCAACAACACACCCATCCATCCAACCACTCATCCATCCACCACTCACTCATCCAATCATCCATATAGCCATCCAATCATATATTCACCCAATCATTCATTTATCCATCCACCCACTCACCCAACATCCATCCATCCATTGGCCCATCCATTCATCCACCCACCTGCTGCCCATCCCTCCGTGCAACCATCCAGCCATCCATTCCATTTATCCATTCATAGATGCTTCTGTCCATCCAAGGACCCATCCATTACTTCATCTATTCATATCCATCATTCACTCATCCACCCATTAAATATCATGCTTCCACTCACCCATCCAACTCTCCATCCATCCATCCATCCATCCATCCATCCTATTTATCCATTCATGAGATGTTCCCATCCATCGAAGAACTCATCAATCACTCTATCTATTCATTATCCATCCATCATCCATTTATCCCCCACCATATATCATCCAACCATCCACCCACTTACCCATCCATCCAACCATGCATCCACCCTTCCATCCATTCTATTTCATTGTATGTATCCACTCACAAAATGCTCCATCCACCACCCACCTATAATCTATTCACCCATCCAGTCAACCACACTTCCATCCATGCACCCATTCACTCGACATTCCTTCAACATATGGGGAGGTGTCTCCAGTCAGCCCTCACTGACGTTTACTCACTGACAAGATTAGAAAGTAAACATCTTAGAGCCCAGCTAACCAAAGCAGTGGCTGTTTAGCACTAGAAATGAGGCATAAGTGACCAAGGGAATAAAAATTTTCAATTCCACTTCATTTTAATCAGTTTAAATGTAGCTTCAATTGCAGAAACAATGTAAAATACTTCCTCTGAAATGCAGTGGGAATGTTTTGGTCAGACTATGTTTTACTTGCTGTGGTACACGCCTGTGACCCCAGCACTTGGGAGGCTGAGGCAGGAGAACTACTGAGTTCAAGGCCAGCCTGAACTACATAGCAAGACCCTGTCTCAAAAAACAAAACAAATGGGAGCTAGGGATTTAGCTCAGTGGCATAAGAACCTGTCTTGCAAGCAGGTGGTCATGAGTTCGATCCCTGGTACCGATTAAAACAAAAAAAAACCATTATCCTTCAATTGTGCTGTTGGCAATTAACTGGAATTGAGACACGAAGCCTATGAAACATCTCAGAGTGACTTTGATATTGATTGTG